AAAAAAAGTTAACAATGTACGGGCGGGGGCGGGGGCGGGGGCGTGTCGCGGCCACCTCTCCCGGCTCCTGTCCTGCAGCAGCTCATCTCCGCACCGTGTGCCGCGCACTGCCTCGCTCTATCGCGCACAACTCCATTTCACTTAGACAATAAAGACGTAAGACTGTGTCCGTTCCAAGTGGACGATATGTTTAGTGGAGCCGAGCCGCACATCGGTCGAGTCCATGTGCAGGGTCAGGAATGCTTCATAATACTGCATGTAACAATGTGGAGGTCGGCGACTACGGCAGGGGCTCGACGTAGTTCTCCGGCACGAGACCGCTGCGCCCGTCGAGCATGCCGCGCAGCCAGCCGGGCTCGCCGGACGGCGTCACGTGCGTGATGATCTGGTTCGGCTCGAAGGACAGCTCGCCCTCGCTCTCCCCCAGGCAGGCGTACAGCGTGCGCACGCGCCTGCAACAACCACACCCCGGTCACTGCACCTGCACACCTCCACATCTCCACACCTCACACAAGCGGACAATGTGTACCTGGCCGGCGGCGGCGGAGAGGCGCTGTGGCTGGACACCGACTCCGAGCTGCTGCTGCAGCGCGCGCCTCCACCTGAACAAACAATATTCTTAATTAATCATAATCAACATCTCCAACAATGTATTCGTGGTATGTCATCAAGCGTGTCTGTACCTCTGTGCGCGAGGTGTGCGGGCTGCGGGGCGTGGTGCGGGGGCTGCAGGTGGGCGAGGTGCTGCAGCAGGGTCTGCTGGTGCGCCGCGTACGTCGCGCTGCACATCTGACACACAGACACACATCAGCATAAGTTAATTCATTTATATTATATTAAATAAACATTGTGACTTCACTACATTTTCTAATAAGTACAATATCACTTACAACATCATTACGCGACGACAGCGACGTAGGTGACGTTCTGAAATAAAAGGAAAAATTGTTTTTTATACATTTGATACTCTGCAGGTTTATGATATAAACAGTTGAATATGACATATCATTAGTTGCTTCATTATAATTGTACATCACTTTCCTGTCTGATGAAGAAACAATATTATCGAAACATGTTTTAAACAAAATGCAGATAGTGCACAATGTAACACACAAAAGTGTTGCACAATTTATTTACAAACATTGCGCAGTTACCTATTCTAATACTATAGAGAGGAAAAAATTGATTCTTTTTTGCATTGAATAAGCTACTGAACCGATTTGTAAAATTCATTCACTGTTGGAAGCTACACTATCCCCGAGTGACACATCTCTTGTTAACTAATATTCGGCAGAACTGTGAACAATCCCTCCGAACAGTTTTATTGATTCTATTTGACATCTCAAGTTAATTCCTTCTGTAAATCTAAATAAAAAGTAGCAAACTACCGACTAACATTATTTTATACAAATAAAAGCAATAATTAATCCCATAGATCGAAAAAAATCTAAAGATATTATTACAATTATTAGAAGATATAAAATGAAGAGCAAATTAAATATATTTGCATATAGCAAAAACGTAAAATTGATGACGGCAAAAGAATAATTGACTACTAACCCGGCAATAACGAACCCGGACAGGCAGATGATCATGTTGCAAATCTCCGGCACCGACACAGAGTGACACGACACAACTCACAAGTGAACACAGGTCCGACACTGAACGAGGTAGAGCACAGACTGGCGCGGTGCCAGCCGCGCGCGGTATTTATGTGGACCCGCACGCGACGGCATCGCACACCTGCTCACGGCACGACACGACAGTGCCCAGGTAAACGGACTGACCGAAAAAAACATTACTATGTTGCTGTTACAACTTTTTTCAAAATTTCTATTTAACACTAATATTACAAGACGAGCTTAAAAAGTGACATGTTGTGTGTATTATCGATTTCAATTAAAAACTAATTGTATTGACTTCATAAGGGCTGTGACCTTTGAGGTCCGTCCTTGTAATGTTGTGGGTTCGTTTGCCGAGTGACCCAGTTAGCGCCGGATGTGGGGCGTTACACCGCGGGATGGGTCGTGCGCGGCGACCTCTTGACCATTGCGACTCCGTAGTCAAGGACAATAGGAGATTGTAGCCAATAGTTCAATCAACTTTCACCTCGATACAGACGAACTGAAGATAACTAAAGTTGCAATTCTTAACTGCTGTTAAACTTTAATCGTTTTTATTTATCCGAAATTAATAGAAAATAATCAGGGTGTATATCTAGTCAGTCGGAGGGGGCTTCTAGTTGTGTGAGGTCGTGTTGCGGGGTGCGGGCGGGCAGAGGTGCGGAGACAGGTCGAGATGCGGCGGAGGCAGGTGCGCATTCCGCCGGCGCAGCTGCCGCAGACCTACGCCCGCCCCGCCCGCCCCGCACCCCACACCCCGCACACAACGAATTACATAAACCAAACATATCGATAATAAGTATGAATATAATATACGGGTTCGTATTTCTTTCAACTGATCTAAATCAAAGATTTTTTTGTAATCGATTGAAATTCGATATGTTGTAATATATTGGTATCGCAAAACGCGCAACATCGAATCTTATGCAAATTGTTATTGATTAAGAAGTTAAGCAATACAATTGGTAATATTGCATCAGTTCAAACATCGTTATGCACATATTATATTAGTTATTGAAAAGTTATGCTACGTTCAAAAACATTAAGAAACATTGGAATAACAACTTTTTCAAGTGCAGTAAATAACCCAGCACATTGTAGTCGTGTTGTGTGAAGTCAGTGTGCGGGCGACATGTGGCGGGCGTGCAGTGAGCCGTGCGGGGAGGAGCGGGGCGAGGCGGTGCGCGGGGGTGCGGAGGAGGTCCGCAAATCGGCAACAGCTAATTAATGGGAACAAAAGAGCGGTACCTGCACGAGATGGTGCCGGACCCGCTAGTTGTATGGTGACCATACATCAAAAATGTTGAGGACATAACTACAAACTATAGTGCTTTGCCAAATGTTATGGATTATTCATTAATTTGTATTCCTTTTTTGTGGTAAAAACTTTAAAATAGCTATCGCACTCCGCATGTAGCGCTTCAAAGATATGGAAAGTAACTTTCTTCTTATATTTTGCTGTATTATCGATTTCTTTAGTGGTTCTATTTTTAAATATTCAATGATTACATTAATGATGGTATTTTAAATTTCATTTCACATATATAGTAATATCCGCAGTGTTAGTATAGAGTTGGTGACCGTATAACGAAGCCTCGCTATCGCAACAGTACGCTGCCCAGCTGTCTGTGACTACACAACAAAAAATCTTTTGACGTCTTAAAAAGGATATCTGCCACACTTTGACTGAACTCATCTAATTGTCTTTTACGAAGAGTACATCCTTAACAATTAGAGAGTCACGGCACATCCCTTTCCTGTTCATGTTCATTCCTTTTCCTTGTTAACTCCCTTCCTTTCTGCTATACAAAGAAAACCAGGTAATATTGCTATTTGTTTCTTCCTCCTCATTGCTTTGCATTTTAATGTGTGTTAACTGTACCCAAGCATATATTAACAGATTTAAACTAGAAAAATGTTTCCCCAATAACACAGCGGCTGAAAAGGCTATTCTGAAATCCAAAGCCAGTAAATTGTCTGTTTAACTGGATAGTTATAAACTACAACAAAGAATCAAAGACAGGGCCGACGAAGCAGCTGCGCGCACTGCGCCCGCGCACAAAAAGCGACCGCGTTCTTATAAGGAATCCCTACAATAAGGGAGCGCACAAAAACTAGCAGCTGTTTGCTGCAAACCTGACAATATCTCCCTGCAAAGCCCTTACTGTACATCTTCACTCATTGTAACACATCCAAATTAAATGTATAAACTAGCTGTCGCCCGCGACTCCGTCTGAGCGGCTTAGAAAAAATCATAATTAGTAGCTTATGTATACTTGTAGACTATTTCCCACATCTATGACAAATTTTATTAAGATCCCTTGTGCCGTTCCGGGGATACCTTCTGACAAACATCAATCTATCTAAACTTTCGCCTTTATAACATTGGTAAGATAACATCATGAAAAACAAACAAAATTAACTATAAAGTAAACTTGTTTGAGTAGTTCGCATTAAAATTGAAATTAATTGCCATGTTTATAAGTATGAATAAACTAATTGAACCATTTGTTATGCTAATTCAGGGTCCATGTTAAAATGCACTCTTCTAATTTTAGTTTTTTTCACAAAAAAAACATTAGATACGGTTGTATTATAATATTTAAAGCTTTTAAAACTTTAAATTTGCTGTAACTGAAAAGAAAATGTATTGTAATTTTCAATGCAATTTACAATATTCCTGTAACAACAACACAATCTTCGTGCATTGTTTAACTTCACAATGCTCTCGCAAAAACCGAGTCCTCTTCTTTTATTTTCAGTTATGGTTTATTAAAGAAATTGAATAATGATTTATGAGACTTCTGAACCACAGTCATATTGTGTACAAAGTGAACAGAGTTAGTCACAAATTTGTTTACATATTTCATTTATTTTGAATAAAGCGCAGATTTTATTCAGATTTTCTAGAAAATTTAAAATACTGACATACTAAAGATAAATATGTTCTTAAGTAATAATGAAGCGCAGTTTGCACAAACAATTCAATTATAATAAAATCCCCACAAGTGACTCGCACATCGCACGACGCACATCGCACATCGCGCAAACAGAGTAAATAAAGCAAAAGGATAAAAAACCTTCGCACCTGGCGGCACGAGGTGCGCACGCGGCGCTCCGGCTACAGGCGCAGGGGATGGGACGCGCCCGGGGAGGAGACGGGCGCAGGGTGAGAGGGAGGGGGTGGGGGAGAGGACACGCCAGGTGTCTCCCCGACGCTTATCTCAGAACTAAATTATCATAATAAGTGCTGGCAACTTGTGTTTGTGTGCGTTTTTAATAACAAGGACGTACAGCATACAATGTAATTGTGTCCATTATTTGTAGCACCCTGTAGCTAGTGTTTCCTGCAGGGCCGGTATTACATGATGGTGTCCTGTTTGTAATTGAACTGATACGACATTTAGTATAAAATTTTGGTAAACGGGTTTGCGTTAAGACTGCACATCATTAATTGTGGCAACGAATTCGTTCGAAAAAGATATAGAAAACACGAATTTTGATTTGCATTTTACAATCAATGGTAAAAATGAATTAATACCCATAAGTTTGCAGTTTAGTTTGTTAATCTCAGAAGGCTTTTATCGAAGCTAAGGGCTACACAATAAAGTGGACAGTGCCGGAAGGAGAAGGGTTGTGAAGTTGGGGCGGGGAGAGGCTGTGTCCGGACGCGGAAGACGTCACCCCCGGGCCGTCATGTCGGTCGCGGCGGCACACGTGCGCACACGTCTTTATTTTTTGCTCGCCACCTCATCACCCAATACCATCTCAGATGTTCCAATTGTATTAATGCCTTTTGATGTACAAAAAAATAAATGTATAGCGGCAGTAGGATAGAAGAATCGAGAGCGAATTAAAAAAAATTAAACCTTTTCAGACGTTACAGACCAATGAAGATATGAACAAATAAAATGTGTGACATAAAAGTGAATGGTAGTTTTGTTAGGGAACCAAAAACGTATTAGTGAGGGTTTAAAAAAAATCTATCGACCGTTAAACTCAGCTATAACCTTTGGTGAGACATGAAAATTAAAAAAGCTAGAAGAAAATAAAAGGACCACGACCTACGAGATAAAACAAAGATACAAAATGTACTGTTAAACTGTTAAAGTTATGTACGGGGCTTATCTTAATATCGAACTATATAATTAAAGTGTGCTTCATAATTTTAAACAATGTGTTAACACGTCGCATGCCACCTGTGTGCATTACTCATACACTAGCTGCCTGCGGGAGTACTACGCGGCCGCGCTGCTCTGTGTAGCGTACACACTAAAAGTGCAGGTGAGAAACGCACCGTGAGTCAGCCCGGTCAGTGCGTACTCTTTGTGACCTACATTTAACATTTTCTTTTCTAAGATGTAAAATAGGAAGTTCACTTTTAAGAAAGAGCGAGTAATAACAATAAGCAAAGCCATATCAAAAATAACTTTACATAATTTTGCAAATGTAAATAAAAACATGTGACAACACGCAATAACATGACAGCGCAGCGTGTACTGCGTCATTGCGTCATTGCGCACGCACAGGTAAAAATCATGAAAAAAGGGCCACATGTTGTAAATGTCATCAGCCGATTGTCTATTTTCCGGGATACGCTAAGAATGACGCAGCTGCTCACCCGACAGCGCGGGGTGTGGGGTGTGGGGTGTGGGACGCGAGGTGTGGGGTGCGGGGTGTGGGGTGTGG